AGTAGAATGAGTGATAGTGAGGAGAGAGGGAGAGAGAGATAAGTGAGGAGAGAGGGAGAATGAGTGATAGTGAGGAGAGAGAGAGAATGAGTGATAGTGAGAGAGAGAGAATGAGTGATAGTGAGTGAGAGAGAGAGAGAATGAGTGATAGTGAGTGAGAGAGAGAGAGAATGAGTGATAGTGAAGTGAGAGAGGGAGAAGTGAGTGTGATAGTGAGAGAGAGAGAGAGAATGAGTGATAGTGAGAGAGAGAAAGAGAATGAGAATGAGACAGAATGAGAGAATGATGAGAGTGAATGAACTTAAAAGAGTACAAGAGTACCTTTGTACATGTGTCTACACAACCTGAGCTGAACAGGGTGTGCCCATAAATTGCAGTTGCCTTCCAGAACCCGGGCTACATGAAGGATGCTTTTTACATCTCCATAGAGACCTTACATGCTCCTGGGGATGGGCAGATGGAGAATGTGAGTGGAGCTTCGGCCATCTTGAGTACTGGCATGCTGCGGCTCGCCTCTCTGTTTCTAGGCAGCCAGACACTCACATGTGCTCACACCATAGGCTTGATGTGTGTCAGTTAGTGAGAGAAAGACGCATGTACCCATCACCAGGCCCTTGGTTGCATGGTAAATCCTCTGTTTTGCCATCATTGTGTTTGTGGAAATGATGTTTCATCCTCTCTCGGTGGTCACTTCTTTCTTACTCACCCACTTTTTCATATCCTCACTTACTCGGGATGTGGTACATGAGGCCTCTCTCAGTATCTGGTACGCATTCTGAGTGTGGTGTTCAACAGTCTTACTCCCAAACTTGTACCTTATCTAATTCTGTTTTTTCTTCAAGCACAGCAGTGAAGATTTCGAGCACAAGGGAATGCTATGCTGCCCATGTGTCTCGGTCTCTGCTCTACTTGAGTCAAGGCTATAGTTTGCAAGTCACAAATTAACTTAATGAAGCTGTCACTATATGTACAGATATGCACTGTATGCCTGAAGCAAAAGAAGTTTGATTTGTTGCCATAGTCCCATGCATAAATAAGCAAATTATAGCCTACACACAAACCATACATACGGCCTGTTACATTTTGCATCTGCAGCTTTTATTCATGCAATTCCTGCTTTTCAAAATGATTATATCCAGACTGTCATACAGCAATGCATCAGCACAAACGACAAAATACATAAAGTTGACATTACCCTATTTTAACTATGCAATTGCAAAATAGACAAGGCCTTCAACAATGTCCTAACACCTTGCTACCCAGCTCACTCCTCAGGTATGAGAGCTTTCCCAAAGAGTCTGAGGCCCAACTCAGGTAAAGGTAATCGTTACCTGACCATGGCAGTGATGCTAAGAAATCCACCCCAGATCTGTCGTTCTGTGTTTCTCGCTCTTTTCTTTCTTTTTTTTTTTTTTATCTTTCATTCATTGATTTCTTTTATCCAGCACCCGCAAGTTATTGTATATCTTCCATTTTTTTCTTCCCTATTTGTCTGCATGACAGAACCCAGGCTATATGAAGAAAAACTTTGTAATATGCATTGAGACACTTCACGTGGCTGATACAGGGAACATGGAAAATGTGAGTCCTGTTTTCTGTCATTTTGGTTTTATCTCTTTCTCTCTCTCTCTTTCTTGTCCTTTCTTTTCTTTTCTCTTCTCTTCATATCTCATTTCTCTTCTCTCTTTTCATTACTTCTCGTTTCCTCTCATCTTCTCTCCTCTCTCCTCTCACCCCACCTCGTCTCATCTCTTCTTGTATCTATTATCTCTTTGCTCTTCAATTTTTTTCTCTCTTTTCTTCTCTCTTTTTATTTTTACTCAAAATTGATTAGGTAGTTCCTCATTTATAGAACACCTAGTTGATTTTATATTTAAAGAAAATGTTCTTCTTTTTCTTATTAGGAGAATGGTCTCCAAACAGATCATTATTTTCATTTTTACCATGGTCAGGCTACGTAACTTAAGTTGCCATAGATACATGATGAGAGTTGATGCTGAATCTTCTATTATTCTTTGATTAGGGACATAGCTTTGCAAACTTTATTTCTTCTATCAGACTTTTTATGTAACAACTTCATTTCTCAAAATTTGTTAACCAATAGAGGGAAAGAAAAGAAGAAAAGAAAAGAAAGCCATTATTTTTGAAAAGGAGTGTAACTTCGTATAACATTCACTGTCAAAAGTACACCCAAGTCAGTTAGTTTTTATTATCATTACTATTGTTATTATAATTGTTATAAATATTATTATTATTTATTATTATTATTGCTTCAAGACCTTCTTTGATTCTTAATGTAATTTTTAATCCGGTAGATAGGGAAAGTTCATGAAGGAGAGAACTACATCCTGCAAATTTTGTATCAGATGTGCCTTTTTTGTGGTAATTGAGTGATGCATCGAAAAATTAAAAATAAAGTGATGACTAAGCTCCAGGATATTTAGAACTAACATGAGCATGTGTTTTAGGTACCTCAGGTCTTATATTCTTTGCCCAAGAAGATATCAAATTATCCAATGCCATTTTCACTGCTAAAGGAAAAGCTTATGATGTATTGGTATAAGGATACTTTGAAATTAGTATTAAGATTTGTCACTGATTATCTTGTATAGTGAAGAAAAGTATAGCTTTGTCCTGTTACTGATATTGTCAGCAGAAAATAATTTTTTTCATGTAGAAGAGTATTTGGTGGTAGAGAACAGATGAGGGAATTGGTGTCCAATAATGTTCTCAGACTAATCACCTGGCAATACATTTATTAAATGTTTTGTTGGTTTAAGCTTTCTTTTATAACACAAGCTTTGATGTGTTCACGTTAATGCCTTATAGTCATAAGATAGAGGGCAATGATGCAAACATATCAGTGCTTGTTTTAGATGAAAGTTTAAATCAACAAAACATTTAATAAATACATTGGCAGGCCGATTAGCCTGAGAACACCTGTGAATGCTCATGCCCTCAAATCTTGTACCCAATTACATATGTTCAAGGTCAAAATTTTACATAGTGTGTCATGATGCTTTGGTAAATCTTATATTCTTGAGGATGCCCTAAGACTTTCCACCTTTTATTTTTTGCATGTGGTGATATTCTTCACAACTTCATTACTGACTCTTATGACTGTAGCTTGCTTGAAAACTGAAAGAGTACTATACTACTAAACTGTTGTATTTGTTAGTTTATTAAGTAAATTTATTATTCATCTGTTCTGAGAATTTTAAATTGAATTTTATTGATCTATAGTTGATATTAGTTTTCAAAGAAATTTTTTGTCTAAAATAACAGGAAGTGTTGCTAGATACACCTAAACTGCAGTTAAATTTTATTTTACCAAACATGTGAACTCAGATTTTAATGCTGTAACTTCTATTTTAACCTTTGGCAGGCACATGAACTCACCGGTGAAAAATTTAAATTACGTGAGGTAGTACCTATTGACATTGCCAATGACCCAGTTAAGTCTTCAGATTACAAAGCTGATGAAGACCCGACCAAATTCAGGTCTGAAAAGACTGGTCGTGGGCCACTGGTAGGCCCAGAGTGGTGGAAAAAGGTAAGGATGAATATAGAATGATCCAGCATTAGATGAAAGTAACTTTCTGTACAGGAATAATAAAGGAGATTTTAAATTGTTACAGTTCAGCTATTGGGAGAATTCTATTTGTGGATATGAATGTAATGAAGCTATTGTAGTGAAGGAAATAAAGAATATGGCCCAAGTATTATGTGTGCTTTCCTTTTCAGTGTGATCCAGTGATGACATGCTATAAGCTAGTGACATGTGAGTTCAAGTGGTTTGGACTACAGACACGTGTGGAGAAGTTCATCCAGGACATTGAGCGTAGACTTTTCACCAACTTTCATAGGTGAATTCTGTTTTATTTTACAGTTGTATCTGTTAATTTAGGCTGGGATGACATTCCATCACATCTAGGAGCCTGCTTTAAAATTTGTGAACTAAACAGTTGTGTGCTTGTTTAGCCCTGCTGTGGTCATTGAGGAGAAACAGCCATGAAAAAGTCATAATACCTCTTTTTGGACTCATTACATGAACAGTTGTATTTCCTGTAGCCAAGAGTGTAGGGTTGTAGATTTATGTCCTGTGCTCCTTATTTTTTTTTATCAAGAAACTGACCGTGCACACACCAGAGAGTTTTGATATGGGGCCAGGAGCTCTTGACATGAGTGGGTGTACTTAGTTTTAGTTTTTTTCTTCTTCAGAAAATATCAGGGTCAGTCTATTTTTAATTTTTAAGGGTAGGGTGTAAAGAAATCACCCTAATTTTGTCTTAGAGATGGGCTAACTGGAATAAACCCAATAATTACATTCCTCCAGGCAAGTGTTCTGTTGGATGGACAGATGGCATGGAATGACCATGGATGACATCCGCCGCTTAGAAGATAAAACAAAGGATGAGCTAGATAGTGTAAGCACATATTTGCAATTGCTTTCTTTTGTGGTGAACATAATTTATTGATCTTTTTATGCATCACTTCATAGGAGTTACATAAAAATTATTAATTTATATGGAACTTGCATATGATTGTGATCATTTAGCCTTTTGCAAAGCTTGGGCTTTAATAAGAATTAGAGTAATAACCACTTATGAGAAAGAATAAAATGAATGCATTAAACTGATGATATATATAGTATTTTGCAACATAGAAGTAATTACTTGTTAAATATCCCCCCTTCATTTTCCCCAAAACAGCAAAGACAGCAGGGTGAAGTACGGGGCACCAAAGGCGAGTAAAGGATGATCCAAACATCTTTACTTGCACTGGATCATGCTGGGAGCCCAGGCTGCTAGCTCCAACCCTGCCATATTATATGATGTTCAGGATACTGTGATCCATGCCAGCTCTGCACTGAGCAAGATACAGAGGCAAGCAAGCAGTGTACAGGCATCCCACCTCTTCCATGTGATGGTGTGCACTGGAACCTCCTGGAGTCCTGTTAATGCGAGCTTGAAACCAGGCAAAACCCAAGTTGGAATTACTCACAGTCTCTGTTAGTATTAATTTGAATTGTAATTGAGGTTATCTAAGACTTTTTTTTTTATTACTATCATCATAGATATTTTTATTCCTTTTTTTTTTTTTTCATCTCGGTGATTTTTATTGTAAGATTATATAAGTCGTGGCATGAATACAAGGGGATGCAAAGACAGTGAAGAGTGTCAGAGAAGAGTATTAGCAGCCCTTATTGCTTGTACAGTCTTGAAAGGGAAGATTATCCTTGTTGCTGGATAGAAGCACTTTTAGCCCGTAGCAAAGGAGGACTGCAGACCTGCTAGTTCACAAACATTTTTATCATATAAGCACTACTTCTGTACTGCAACTGTGAAATATTACATGTACCCCGAGTTACCATGCGTCTGGGATAGATAGCTGTTTCGGGCATGTGTCAGATTCAGATTAAAAGTTTTACTACCATATATTTGGGCATGAAATGAAATTATTTAGTTTCTGCTTGTAAGATGGAGATTGTCTTGGGAATAACAAAAATTGTTTTAAAATCAAATTTTGTTCAGTGTTGAGGTTGGTACATGCTCGCAGTAAGAATTTTACGTTTCCAAGTTAAAAGTTGGGATTTTTATTTTAATAAAATATCTATTGGAATCAAAATTAAAGGGTTCTGACAAGTAGAGTGTAAGGTTGACTTGTTCACATTTTAACTTGTATTTTACTTGATTTTGTATGTTACAAGTGAGCTATCTTTGCTATTCAGTAATTTAAAAGCAGGACTTTCCCTGATGTATGGTACAGGACCTTTACCAATGATGTTTGGCAACACAATACTTCATTCCTTATAGTCCAGTGTGATGTAAAAAGAGTGCAACTTGATCTTTGATTAATTTTGAGTAAAACATGTGAGGAACTTACCAGAATAGTCAGGTTAAGTTAGTAGGCACTCTTGATTCTCTCTATTCTAGACAGAATAGTTGACCTTTATGGTTATTATGTATTATTCAGGAATACAAATAACATGTATAATGGAAACAGATGAAAGCTCTTTAGATAATACATATGATTTGATCTGTGCCATGTACATGCTGTTTTGTATTTGGTGCCTCTTGAGATTTAATTAATGAAATTTAGTGGTGGGTTGGGTGGGTAAATATCATTATTGCCACACTAAATTGAAAGCCAGTGAAATTGTGATTGTGTCCCTTGCTCATTCATGCATTGCATGGAAAAGTTAAATGAATACAAGTTAGGACTTACAATTTTTAGGGATAATTTGAAATTAAAACCTTGTTGATAATCTATAAAATGATAATGACTATTAAAAGGTATGGCAAATATATTTTCTTGTTTTTCCTTTTGCACCCTGCAAAGATTTTTGTGAAAGATGTTGCTGCATCCATCCTGTTTCTAGCTGTGAGGGACAGCAGGCGGCATCAAGCTGGTCCATGGCCCATCCTGTTGGTTTGTTGAAGTCACAGCTTTGTCATCTTCCTTTGAGCTTTCTTCCTGAATTATTTCCAGAAGAGACAAGTTCAGTGGCAGGATCATCCTCAGTAATTTAAATCGAAGTCTGTGTAGGCGCAGACCTAGATTGTGGAGAAAGAACTTGCTCGCTGCCTCAAAGACCAGGAAGTTATATCAGTACATTGCCACTCCCTTCCTCCTAGAGGTCATCGAAAGAAACCCACCAACATTGCCAAAATTACTTTCAGTACACATGACCTTCCCATTCATATCTACATTAGTGGACAATCCCTCCCTGTTCAACCATACCAACCTCCTCCCCGTCAATGTCAAAATTGTTTGCAATTTGGACATCCTACCAATCGTTGCCGCTCCACAGACCGATGCCCCCTCTGTGCCCAACCCGGTCATAACAGATCAAACTGCCCTGCACAAACACGCATATGTGCTAACTGCGGCGGCCCCCATAATGTATTTTATAGAGGCTATCCCACTTACAAGTTCGAGTCTGAAGTAGCAGCTCTCAAATACAAAAATTGTCTCACTCTACGTGAAGCCAGACATGGAGCATACCGACAAGGTCTCTATACCCTACTCCAGTAATGTTGATCACTAATGTCGAGTTTTAATATAGAATGTAAAAAAAAAAAAAAAATCCAACTTCCACAGACAAAGCCTGGCAGGCTGTTAACTCTTGGTGTGATGCTATCCACATATCTGAGTTGTTGATGCCAGACATGACAATAGTAGCTGACATTGCATTGGCAATTAACTTTAGCTGATGGTGAGCAAAATATTAGTCACACACAACTGTATGAATTTTCATAGTGATTACTCCCTTCACAGCTAGTTCACAAGAAAATGCATTCCAGATTTACTGTTGCTTAAATCAAGCAAAAGTTTTTTCCAGAAAATATTAATTCTTGAACAAGGAATAAGGCTTACAAAAAAATTCATTCAATTATTTGAAACAAAAACTCATCTTCTTATTTAAGGAGTAAATAAAAAATTCCATATAATAAAAATTTATTCACAAAATACTTTTAAGATTCCATTAACAGTTGTATCCTAGTCTTCACCCAGATTATATTACTGGATGCAGATTTCCACATTCTCCTCTATAAGGCTACAGAAAGGTCTAACCTTGAAACATTTTGTCAACATTTATCCTGTTTCCAAATGACCACACACATGCCAAACCCTATTATATTGCTAAACTCCAGTGCAACAAAAGCACTTGAAAATGTGGCACACAGATGAGACTTCAGCAAGATAAGAGCTACTTAATGAATGTTAGTACTAATTTCAGGACATTTTGGTGAATACTTCAAAATTTTTAATAATATACAATATTAGTTGTCTGAAGCTCTCTCCCAAAATCAGGTCTCTTTACGCAACAAAAGCATAGAGCATGAAATATGTACACTAACTGATGCCTTGATGGTGAGCCTGACTGACTAGATTTACCTGATCTGTCTAAATACAGGATATTCATGTAACTATAAATGTGAAATAATGAACAAGGATGTGCAACAATCACAGCAAGACATCTGATGGCTAGAATTCAACAATGGATATGGAACAGACTAGAGTTCCATCAATGGGATCCTCATCACCAAAGTATACACAAATAGAAATCCTAATATCTATGGTATGTGTTTGTTTGTAAAAGGGGGGTTAAAAAGTAATTGAATATTCACATTTTGGCCTTATCAGATTTTTTTCATCCATCAATAATAATAATAATAATAATAAAAACTGCATCATAATTTTAGTGACCATATCTATAGGACAATGATCAATATCACATTTTAATACTTTTGTATCCTTCAGTAATCTGAAAGATTATAAAAGCCCCTGGAAAAAAAAAGAAAAAAATACAAAACACATGAAAACATACACGCACATAGTTAATATACTTTGAGTGCATGTCAACACTATCCTCAAGAAAATCCCACCATCTAATGTAAATATCACAAGCTTCCACATATCTGTCAGGGATTTTTGCATAATGTACAAAATGTACTTTTCTTTATCAACTGGCTTACATATCGTACTACCAACTAATCATTATGCTACAAACAAGCTTAAGTCCATGACAACACCACAGGAGCACTGCTGTTCTGGCAAACAAGGATTTACAAAGGGGTTAGCCTTTTTCAAGATCTTTTTATGACATTAAGTCTACATGGAGGGGAGGGGGATGGCAGAACAGTTAAAAATAAATAGAAGCACTGAAATGAAAGACGAGTACAAAGATGCACAATGCATGCCTATCAAAACTTTAAAATTATCTCTTGGAAGGTTGTTTTCATGATAAAGTGGTCATAGACTACTTCCTGTGCAAAAATGCTTAAAATTTGGATGCAATAGATTCAGAACATGGACAATACTTGGGAAGATTTCTAAACAGATACAAATAGTCACTGCAAATTGTACTAACCAAAATTACAGCTACTCTAAGATATGTTTAGTATTCCCCTGTTTACATAAATTACAAATTTTACTTTGCATACAAAATGATGCTACAAAGAAAAAAAATATCACTGGAATATATAAACAGTTGAACAGGATAATATTGTTTTGATACAACAAAAATATACACACCTCAGATTTTCCTTTTCTCTGGTAATTATTCTCTGAAGTTGCAGGAATCTCTAAATAGACTCCTTTAGAAGTACTGGAACCCACTCTCCCCAAGCAACAGGTGCCAGAGAGAGCAGAACTAAACCCGTAAACAAAACAACTCACTGATGAGGGCAGCCATGGATATGACATGAATACACTGTACGTAAGTAATTTCCATGAAGCTAGCTTAGCTGGTTAGACAATTTTTATTAGTGGGTCACTTGGTCAAGTAGTTTAGTTCTGCTCTCTGTGGTACCTGCTACTTGGGGAGAGTCCAGGAGGCTATTTAGGATTCTATATAGAATGCGTTGCAGCATTCTTCCTTCTTGCAGGAAAACTTTTTCCTTATAATAAAACTTATGTCGCTACCATGCACCACAGTGTGTGCCTTACGAGCACCATGTACTTGGACTAACTTCTACATAATTTATCTTTTATGTAAGCTGGGTTGAAATAATGAAACATCTCTATTTGATGATAACATTGTACCTCGCTGACTGTTACTTGTGTGTTTGTGTCTCTCTTTGCAGCTAAGATACACAAACACACAGTCTGTATTTGATTTTAAGACATTGCTTTCATGAATATTGGCAAAATATGGACAGAAGCAAGTTTTCTCCTACTATATTCATTAAAATATTTACCCAAGAAGTGAAAACTTATGAACCCACTAATGATTAAACCACATACATAATAAATAAGAGTAACACTAACTAAAAACAAAACTGGAAGAACAAGAAAAACAAAATTAAAATTGCAAACAGTATGAGGAAAGTTTAGTCACATTAGATAACAATCAATATATTACTTCAAGGCTTGAAAAATCCTCTGCAAGTGTTACCAAGATTCAGTTCCAGAACGGCAAAGGTGCACAGCACAATTACTCACAAACAACATCCTCTCACTTGGACCAAACACCTAATAAGAGGAAGCAGAAGAGGAGGAGGAAGAGAAAGACGAAGAAAACTGATATGCCTAATTAGGGAGGTTATTTCCACTTACAGAACAAGTTTTTCTGTTGCTGGAGACCTTTTTGTGTCTCCGTTTGATTGTCCGGCTTTACTTTACAATTACCATCACAATGAGGAATATAAAATAATACAGAGTACATTTATGAATGGCAGTCAAATGAATTGTTATTAAAATCATGGATAAAACCACCAAAACTAATAATGTGTGAATATTAGATACCAACAAAGTGGTCCTCTCAATCCTTTCCTTATCTTCATAGCTTCGAAAAAATATATATGTTTATATCAAATATGAACTAGCACTTAAAACATTTCTCTTGACTCTAATGCATCCAAAAAGATATACTATGACACAAAGTTCTTTCTTTAAAAATCAAAGTGGCTAGTTAACTCTTTTTATCAATTTCTCATCAATTCCTAACACATCCATTTAAAAAGGAAAACAAACAAACAACAAACAAAGGCAACTGAAAGAAGGTAGAAAGATTGAAAGTGGAACAAGCTACAGAAAGAAAAAGAAAAGAAATGGCTCACAATCTACATTCCCTTCCTTTCCAAAACCCTTATCACATGTTGAAAACAGAGTAACTTATAAATGACTTCTGATCTTGATATTCAATATTTTATAGTCTAATAATTACTTTCTTCTTACTTTCTTCCAAGTCTGCATTATCTAAACTCTTTTAGGACAAATAGAGTATAAAATACAAAAACTTTAAAAAGAAGAGTAGCTGGATACAACCCTGATGCAATGGAAGCATTAAAATTTAAACCATAAAAAAATAAAGAAACATACTTTTCAATTTCATTTCTAAAACAGAACGAAAACCAATTGGAACATGCACCTTCCAGAATGCAGTCTATGTGATACCTCTAAGCCAAACATCACTGCACATGGAAATACTTGCCTTTAATCTACTTGCCATAGCATCTCCCTCTCTTCTTTTCTTTCTCCATCTCCATCCAAAAATATGAAACTAGACATACTTTGATTCAGAATCTGTACAAAATCTACAAAATGTCTGAAAATAGGGTAGCTGTGTGGGCAAGAAATCTTCAAATCAAAAAGAAAGCATTTCCTATAGGTAAGCACACAGTCTCCAGAAGTCTAACCTGGGTAATATCAAGAAAACCTTTGCTGACAAAAGAAAGAACACCGTACATTTAGCATGTCAATATATCTAAGACTGGGTCACTGGGTTGGCCCTTTCAGCCTTCCTTAATGCCTGCAATATCACATGTGTAGGAAGATCTGTTATGGGTAGATTTTCCTTCACGAAGTTGGAAAAATTCTTATACACATAAAGTGGTATCCATTCATATATATACATAACTGCAACAGAGTGTGAAAAGCATTATATTCATGTACAAGATAAGGCTAACTACACAATGTAATATCCTAGTAACCCAACATTTCTTATAAGACAAAGGACTGCTACATTTTTGGTTTGTCAAGAATGTATTTTTACCTAAAGTTCAACAAAACACACTGAAGCAATCCAATACTGAAAAGGCACCTCTATGCAATATTTTTTTCTTTTTTTTATTTGGCATTGCAAGAAAATAGTAAAATTCCTCATTGGTTAAACATTCCACTTTCATTGAAAAGATTTACTGAAATTGTATCAGGATCCCTCTGTGATTAAGAATCCAAACCACAGAGTCCTGCATTTCACATTCGTTCCGACCCCTTGAGCATGGTCCACTTCTGTATGCCTTATCAACGCATTAAAGGCCCTGCTCTTGCAACAAGTGCTTCACTGCATCCACAGGGTAGACACACACTCACAGCTGCCTCATTCTTACCACTGGTTCCAACCCCAAAATGCTTCTCAAAATGAGCTGAAGTCAAGAGAATTCCGTCACAGTGTGTTGGTTCTGATGCAGTGAACACTTCGGATCCTTTTTTATCTATTTTTTATATATTTTTTATTACTATCATTTTTTTTTTTTTTTTGTCTTTTCTTTTTAGAAAACTTATAGCCACACTTGAGTCTTGGTCTCGTCCACAGCCCTCTGCATATCTGAGCCAGTAGGTCATCCACCTCCTCCACACAGCTCACTCGTTCCGCTGCCTTCACCTACAACAAATGATTGCGTTACTTGAAGGGACAGAAGAAATTTTGCCTGGAACATGCAGGCTTTAGAAATCATTCTTATTAATATAGCAGGTCCTATCTGAGGAACAAAAAGTAAGAACACTTATGAGAAGCTTTCTTTCCACAATAATGAATAAAGTGGAAGACTAAACCTCTCTCTTGTTAACAAGAACAAGGATTATGATTAAGAGGTTTATCTGTACTAAAAGAATAATATTACTACAACTACTACTGCTGATGATAATAACTGCAGCAGCACCAGTAACAACAACAACAATAATAATAGCCATAATAATAATAGTTGTAGATGCAGTAGCATTTATTACAATATATATATATATATATATATATATATATATATATATATATATATATATATATATAATAAATAAATAAAAAACAAAAAAATAAAATAAAATAACAATGATAATATCAGAAAAAACAGATTTAAAACAAAACACTAATAACAACAATAGCAAAAAACAACAATAACAATAAGAGTATTAAAAATAATAATTATAATAATAATAACAATAATAATAATAACAATAATAATTATAATCATAATGACAAAAATAATCATAATGATAATAATTAATGATAATGATAATAAATAATAATAATGACAAAAACAATACTGCTATTGAGGGTTTGATCATTCTCAAGAATTAACTGTAGAACTCTTAACTGTACCCTATTATCAACATGCTAAAGATAACAAACCCAATAAAGTAAATGATACAACACCACCTCTTCTATCAGATACAATCTAACATAGAGAGATGAGTAATCATTAGGTCACTGGAAAAAAAAGGAAAAAAAGAACAGATAACCAAGACTGACCTTGACAGTCCGCTGTGGGCCAGAGGAGGCAGTTGCCAATGCCGGAGTAGCAGAGGACCGTCACTGCCGCCAGGAACACCAGCGAGCAGATTGTGCATGGCTTACGCTCCAAGAAGAAACCAGTCAAGTAGAGGACCATGAAGACCACATGGTTGTGTAGGAGGCCCGCCGGGACGGGCTTGGGGATCAACAGCACGGGAATGAGCCACTGCAGGCAATACATGGTGCTGGGGGTCGGTAGATCTGGAGGGGAAGACACTGGCCGGTTACTTGCACAGTTTATGCATTATGTATATAACACAAATACTTTTTTCTGAGAAAGAAAGAAAGAGATAGATAGATAGAAAGATAGAGATAAAGGGGGGAGGGAAGGAAGAAGGAAGGGAGGGAGGGAAAGGAGAGGGAGGGAGAGGGAGAGGGAGAGGGGGAGGGAGAGAGAGAAAGAGAGAAAGAGAGAGAGAGAAAGAGAGAAAGAGA